TTTATCAATCTGTAATAAAAGACGTGAGGAAATTCTGTCTTTTTTAAAGACAAAAATTTTTGAGGCGAAATACCCAAAAAGGAGTTTGTAAAAAAATCTACAAATTCATTAAAAACTCATCATTTTTTTAATGAGAATTGTATGTTCTAATGGTTCGTCTTACTATCTTTATCCAGAGCTTCCTCTGGCTTCTTCTCTACTGGTTCTGGTGCAATTGTCGTTGATTCTTTGTTGCTTTCTTCAGTCACGAGCTCTTTCAAGGTTTCTTCAGATTTAGTGCTGAATGCCGTTGTTGATTCCGCCCGCACCGAATCTAGAGTGTTTGAATCGTCCTCGGATATTCTTCTATTTGCCGGTGTCTTTTCTTCTTTTGCAACCTTTTTAACCTTTAACAATAGAAAATCAGTTTCATAAAACAATGACTAGTTTGATTTTGATTATGAAAAACGCACGTTTTTTGACTTTTCATTGTCGTCGTAGTCTTCTTCGTCGTATTCCTCATAGTACTCTTCATATTCTTCACCTTTATCAGAATCGCTGTCCTCAGTATTTTTTTCCAGTTTTGTTTCTTTGCTTTTATCTTCAATCTCGTCTGTTTCCTTTTCATGGGCAACATCGGCTTTAGTTTGGTCTTTCTCCTTAGTTTCTACAGATTTCGCCGCATCTGAAAATATCCATGAGAAACATATTTGATGGGAAAAGCAATGCATTTACTTGACTCCATGTGAGTGATTTCGGTCTTGGCATGTGCAGGCAAAACGGTTTCATGGGATTCATCGTCACCATTTTGTTCTATGTTTTCTGCATCGGAAATGTCGCTTTTTCCTTCATCATCGTCCTCTGCTACTTCCATATCAGATGTGTCGCTTTCATCGTCCTCATGTTCTTCTGTGTCTTCTATATCAGGATTGCCGCTTTCCTCTTCAGCATTTTCTTCAATTATTTCTGCATCCGGATTCCCGCTTTCATTCCCATTTACTGTGTCCACAATGTTTGCTTTCGAATTTTCGTTTTTATCTTTGTAATCTTCGTCTGTTACTTCTGCGTCGGGATTGTCGCTATCATTTTCATCCACTGTTTCCTCAACTTTCTCCTTCGGGTAGTCGCTCTTATCCTCGTCATCTTTATCTATCACTTCTGTATCGGGATTGTCGCTCCCATTTTCTTGCACTGCTTCCTCCACTTTTACCTTATTGATTTCTTCATTCGCTTTATCCGTTGGTTTATTGTCTGTTTCAACTTTCTTAAGTTCAGGCTTTTTGGGCTTCGGTTCAATTTCCTCCTCGTCGTATTCTTCATCTTCGTATTCTTCTCCTTCTGAAAAGGTTTATTAAATAGTGACAGTTTTTTGTAGATAAATGAGTGGGTTTTTCTTTATTTTTATATTGGAGTGTTGCATAGTTAACTGATATTTATATAATTTAATCACCTTCATAATCTCCATCTTCATATTCCTCTTCAACATCTTCTTGCGCTTGATCAGATTGAAAAGATCTATCAACATCTTCAGCTGAAATGCCGAGAGTTTTTAATTCACATTGCGGTTTTTTGCCAATCCACTTTTTCCTTCTACAGAATAAAACGCCCTGAAGATTGCGACTTTGCAGTTTGTAGCCGCGGTTGCATTGGTATTCAGCTAAAAGGTAAGGTTTGCTTTTTGACTGCTTACCATGTCGCAGTCTAATAAACCTTCCATTGAGTATTTGGGGAGGAATAACGCTTTTGCATGAGTAGTCTAGTTTATTTTCGTACTGTTTGGGAATGCGGATGGCCTTTGCTGCTGTGGTAAGATGGGAACCTGCAAAGTTAGTTTCATTCAAAACCCGTAGGCTAATTTCCGGATAAATCAAGCCATCATTCATTATACATACTTAGCAGTAAAGAAACAAATATTGAATAAAACATTAAGTTCTATTCGCATATGGCTATTTTATGTGGCGTGGGATTGGGACATTTGTTGAATCTATCAAAGGATATTTATGACAAATTTTTTTCAAGACATTAAACTTGCACCCACATGCGGTTGTATCAATATAAGTTTTATTGGGAGATTTTCCAAAATTGATTTAGCAGGTTGGACACATGCTTTTGTCTAATAATTCATCTTTGAATTGAGTTTTTCGCTTACCTTTGTTATCTGTGCCTTCATCTGCATTTCCAACTGAAGTCCCAATCTGGCCTGCAAATTATTGCACTTTTAAACAGATTGACTGGAAAATAATTGATGAAGGAAGCAAATATTTACAAACATTGAAGTGCGATTTATCAACTGTTCGTTCTTCTAGTCATCCAACATGTTTCTATATTTAGACAATAGCTCATAAATTTCTTGTAAATCAGGAAGGTAAAATGTGTTTTATTAAAATTCTTGGATATTTTGAGTTATATCAAAATAGTTTATCGGTCATTGCTTGAAGCTGGTGAGGTTTTTCGGAATTTTCGGCCGTCGTAGAAAATAATTTCTTCCTGGCGTTCAGAGATGGTTTACTCGGCGCAGCAACTGCTGCTGCTTTGATGAGTTTTTGGGCCTTTAGGCCGACGTTTTTGCGATTTCAAGCTGAAGATGCAAGCTACTCGTGCATGCAAAACGTCAGGAAGAAACTCTTTGCACGGCCTAAAACCCCGAAAAACGCACTGGTTTTAAGCAAAAGCCTAACTCTGAATGTATTTTTGCAGAAATCCCGACTTTTTCAAGAAGTGCCTTAATTTTATTCATAACTTGTTCAAGAGCACCTGCAGAGGATAAGGTTTTCCGTTTAGGGAACGTTTACGATTTACGTTTTCTCTAAAATTTAAGATTTTTAACAATTTTGAATAAAGTTGCGAGTCAAATGAGATTTAACCAAACTGGTATATTTGGATTAAATTTGAGCTAAAACATTTTTATTTCGCAAATAGTTGCGATGGCTTTGCAGCTTCTGTGCTCCTTATCCAATGGCACAAACTATCTCGATGTTATTCTGAACAAATAAATTTTTCCTAGACATAAAAAACCTCCGCTTTTCCAAATTTTGCTTCCAATAGGACATCTCTGAAGATGCATGCTACTCGTATTTGTGAAACGTCAAAAAATTCTTATCCACGACGGCCTAAGAGCCTGAAAAATTCACCGAGTTATTTAGATTTTGTGTGGCAATGTCTTGATGACTGTCTTCATCATCTAACATTAGATCGAAATAGGCCAACGCTCTTCAAAACAAAATTGATTTCCCTAAACAAAATCTCGAATTTCTCCAAAATTGTCGGGCATCGTAAATCTTCTTATTTTTAGAAGGTTTTTCTGAGCACGCTTAGAATGAGTTAATTTCTTTGTTAATTTTTCATTTAATTGAAATCAAAGTAGCATTTAAATGAATCTGAAAAGAATTTCTACAAACCGATATGCTGTAATACTCGCATCTGCAATTCTTGATCGTTACATTCTTGCCGCAGAAGTCTGCTATAATAGTAATAATTAAATTATGCGTATTCAAGCTGAGCTACACTTTATTTTTGTAACATATGTGGGTACCGTATTATTGTTAATTTCAAAACCAAACGCAAACCCACAAGCATAGATTTGCGAATGTGATTTCATCGGTTCAATCTGATCTAAATTAGATGAAAATTGCGCAAAAATCTATTAAAAGTTACAACCGAAGTGGAAAAAACTTAATCAACTGGCGGCGATGAAACATGCGTTTTCCGGAAGACGAAGATATTTTATTTTTGAGCATGAGATTCTAAGTTTAGAATCGTTAATTAGTTGACGGTTGTTTTATGTCGCTTTTGACCGGGAAATGAGGCAGCCATCAATTCCAGAGTTTAAAATGTTGTTGTTGATCTGGATTAACAGGAGACATGGATTAACACAAGTTTTAACACGAATCACATTAGCGATAGATTTGTTCTTATTTTAAATTCTTGGATAAGTTTGCCTGGTCAGTAAATAAAAGCCTAAAGCCTACTAAAAAGTAAGGGTTCATGGAAACGATATTTTTATTTGTTTTTTCAATTTCATATTTAGTTCGAAATCTTCAAGTCGCGCTAGCGCGGAACGTCGGGCGGTTTTCTGATGGCATTCGGTTTGAAAACGGCTAGAAATATCGCATCTCTTCTGAGAACATTTTTTAAAGAGCATTTATCTAACTAAGGCTTTATATGAAAATAAGCCAAATTGCGTTAGGGCTTCGCCCTCTTTCAGGGGCTTCGAGTTGAGAACGTCAAATGAGAACGGTTTTATGTAAAATCCCAAACATTGTTATCTGTTTAAATTTCGTCCACTTATTTTGTAGTCATATAAAAATGATTGTTGATCATTAGAAATGTATTCCCTGCAGTTGTGTACGAGGTTTCTCAGGAAATATGAATTTAGCTTTCTTAAGAGCTATTTTATAAGAGCTAAGCTGGTAAAGTAGTCTTTTATAAACATTTCGATAACTTCAATTTAATAATACAATTACAACAAAGTTCTACAATTTCTTATACAATAGAGAACATTTTTAAAATAATCACCGAAATTTCGAAAAAAATGTTTAAACTGCTTGGCCGTGCCTAATTTTGCGTTCAATGGACTAGTTATTCAAGTCCAGTAGCGGTCCACAGGACAACCTTGCCAATATTTTTGGTAAAAAAATTAGGGCGGCTGACTTTTTCCAGTTTTTATATCGTGTTCGGATTAACCAACTTTCAATACAACTTTTTCCTATTTTTAACTTTTTTCGTACATCCGTTTCCGTGAAAAAAAAACCAATTAAATTCATAATTTGTGAAGATACGGGCTTATAAAAACCTTAAAAAAAATAGTGTGTTTCCTGAAATAACTGAAAATTTTTCGTTTAAAACCAAACACCTTTCTTATATGTGTCGAGTTTTTTTTAAATAAAAATAATCTAAGTTATCGCTTAAAAAAATTACATGCATTTTTAGAAACTCCAGTTGAACACCCCACGTAGACTTGTTACTCACCAACAATTATTGTGCAGATTAAGATTGAAAACTGCACTCGCATTAGCACTGAAATCATTTTAAGTATGATCGCGACTTGTGCATCTGTCGGCAGTTACACTAGTGAACTCGTAACGGAGAGCGCCAAAGATCAAACAAATGTAGTTTTATAATAATTCGAGAGCGCGTTGTGGGCCGCGGGCCTTAAGCAAGAAAACAGAGATCTTACAAGAATTAGTTTGTATTCGACAGACCGAACCCACATGTGAATCTTCATGATTTATAACCGCGTTGTCCGGGAAGCTGATGGAAAAGGCCATGTTTTCTACCAAAGGAACGAGTTTGTTCCTTACAAATGAAAAAACTTGTGGAATAATAGTTGTTTATTTTCAATGTTACATCTAAAATATACAATTTTAACAGATACTTTTTCTACACATTCAACCCTTAAACTCTGTCATCATCCAAAATGATGGCATTAGCTTGATGATGACTTACATTGTTTCTAAGTGTAGAAAACATATCAAGTTGTTTTTATAAACATACTTTTTGCTTTAGTGAATTAGAGGCATACATGTAACCAATACCAATGGGAATACGTTTCTTATAGAGGTCAACTTGATCATTGAAAATGCTTCAAGAGTAAAACACTTAAAACAGAATATCCTCATCTCTTTCGTCCAGGATGTTAGCGGAAGCATTTTGCTCTTCAAGCAGCCCAGCCGCTTTTAGTGCAAGCCTCCTCTTTTCGGCTTTCGCTTTGATGATCTTCTTCTTGTCCTGGATTTTCTTTAAACGGTAGAACTCCTCTCGCTCAACCTCATCCAGCTCCGAAATAATGTATTGTAAAGTGTTTTCAATTTTTGGAATGATTACTGAAAACAGAGCAGTTTTTTTGGCTATTCGTCATTCACATCAAATGCCTTTGACTTACCGTGTTCAATAGCATTCACCCTTCTGTTGGTGACTTTGATCACCTCATCCAGTGTGACAAAAGATGTCTGCAAAGAAGCCAACTCCACCAACAGCTTAACAGCATTCTGATAGTTCTTCTTCAGCTTGGTGAGTTGTTGACCTCCTCTGGCCAATCCGGCCAATTCATAAGTGTCTGTACCGTCTTGGTACGATTCAAACACTGGCAGAGTTACACCTGAAATTAACTGCAATATAAGAAAACCTGCTTGGTCTGCAGCGTAGACAATGAATTTACCTGCTACGTTGTCTTTCTTTGTCCTCACTTTGATTTGAGCCTTTGTGACATTCTGCAGAACGACCTGATTGAAATCTCCAGTGGCAAATTTCGCCTCTGCCAAAGAGAATGCTGCTTCTTTCATTACTTCGCCCATCAGGGTTTTGGTCTAAATGAAATTTTACGGTTATCTGATTGGATTTTAAGGGAAATTACCAGCTTCATTACCTTGATGATTTTTGATAAAATCATACGAAATCTCATTTGCAAAGCATCAGCCTTCTTCTTGAGCAGACTGTGCCCGGTTTGGGCCCCCTTTAGACGGATTTTCATTAACATCTGTGCCCTGAAATTACGGTAAAGTGAGTATTTTGATTTCCATACCTTGGCTAGCCATTATGGGAAGTTTTGCAGTTACAAGCTAGGCTGTGGGGCTATAAACTAGGAAGCTTGTTGAAAAGGGGTAAGAATCTAAATAGCCCCATTCAAGAATACGCCCTTTAAACACGCAAGTTCAATTTTAAACAATTGTACCGCACAAATCACTTACCCTCTGGAGGGGAAAATCGGCAGCCTGTCGCTCTGAGACATTTTTAATTATTGAACTGGACAATTTTAAAAAGGGCAGTACTGTGAACTTCAGTAGCTATTTAGTTGAAATTGGTTATTGAAAATTCACAAGACTAGTCAGCTGACATGAAAATCAGCTGACCTTATTTTGCCGTCAACCTGACAATGTTTTTCATGTTGCCGG